GTCCGTTAGATAAATTGGTCCGTTAGATAATTTGGTCCGTTAGATAACACAGCGTTACCATTTAACAGAGCTGCCATTTTTTGACTATTTTTCTTATTTATTACAAGCGACTCTGTGCTTTGCCTTTGAACAGGGAAATTAGCGAGGACTTTGTTTAAATATTATGACGGTTTAATTCTAAGCTAACTTGTAAAATACAAATTTGGAAACTTTAAATACTTCTGGTTGAACTTTGCCTTTACCTAATTTCACGGCATACACTGCGTTATTTTAAAGCCCAGAGCACAGAGTGGAGATATGCAATTCAATTCCAACTGAATGTTAAATTCTTCGCAAGCGTTATCTTACAGGTTTTGAAAGTAGAAAGAAAACTCTACTCATACCTTCAGTTCCGTTTGGTTCGCTAGTTGCATTTCTTGGAACTTTTTTTCCAATTTTCTTATAATACTTTAGATTCTTCGTTTATCGGAACGTTTATTATGATCATAAATTTGTATTAATCTAAGTAATTGAACAAGAAAAAATTTGAATAATTCGTAATTGTCATTTACACATGTACTGTTCCCTAATTAAATATCACCGGACATAATAACCTCAAAGACGGTAAAAGGAAATGGAATTCTATCCTATGCAAGACTTCATCAAAGCACAAATTACGTTGGCTTTTACCTAGTGCAGTAATAATAAATATTCTATCGCTCCTCGTTGAGCCACCACAAACCACAAAAAAAACAATTTCTTTTGACTTGTGATGGATGTTACTTACTTAAATTAAGTTGAGAGAATCCTATGCATCGTAAAAATCGCCAAACACCACCAAACCACGTCTAACCTTCGTATCTGTCAGAAACCATCTAAAAAAATGCAAAATGGCCGACAATGTCAACATTTGTCAGTCTGTATTTGTAAACAACCGCCTGTTTAATTGAAAAAACGACTAAGAATTTGGTCGCATCTGAGAGTAAGCGTTACTCTCTATTTGTTTAGAATTGAGAATAATTCAAAGAGTTGGTTTTATTATTATTATTTTTTTTTAAATGTTGAGTTTAAATGTACTAAGCTCACAAGAAATATGCCTCACATATAATTAGATTATAAACTCGGCTTTTACATACAGACATGTTCAGTGCATTATGAGCGGATAAAAGTGTAAATAATGATGTAAAATTAAAAAAAGTTGCAAACTTTGACTAAAATAAGTTTATTTTAAAGATGAATTTACGAAAACAAATTAATTAAAACCTAAGCTGCAGGAATAAGAAAAAGTTATATAGTGAAGAAAGCATTTCTTAAACAAAGTACGTTAAATATTCTATCCACGTTCGCTTAATACGAGTATTCATCGAAAGGCTTTTTAAAATAATAGCCCACTATAACCTTTTTACTAATTTTAGATCAATTCAATTAAGAGAAAACGAATGAAGTTTTTCTTTTTTTTTTGTCAGCCCAATGTGCCCTTGCACATTCTCCCTTGAGAATAGTCTTTGTATAATTTTTCATTATTATAATTGAACATATTAGTATCAATTTCACGGTTTTCCGCACCACCCTTGGGGTAACGTCATAGGCGCGTTGCTGGCTCCCTCGTTATTACATGACCTTGAACGTGCTCGTTATAGATAATTTACTGGCCAAGATGAAAGGGAAATAAGGCATGGGCCAACAAAACAGGAATCCAACATCAAGAATTGTCCTGGTAAAAAAATATATAGGAAGCTTTCTAGCTGTGAAAATCTACTCAAAGAAATTGTATGCATGTAAGTGTTTGTGTCTCTGAAAAACGTACGGTTTCCGTCGGAAACATGACTTTATTGTATTTGTCAGTGATAGTGAGAGTGTGGATGAATATTTTGCTCAATACTGATGTTAAATAAGTGATGATCCTGCGTTCATTATTTATATTTTTGATTTGCAAGGTGTCCTACAATAGAAAGTGTGTACAAATTTGTCATTGTTTTATTATTCTAAAAAGACGTCTGTTTACAATCTAGCAATCGAACGAATTACATGATAAACAAGGGACCAGTGAAAATGGCTCAACTTGGTTTGACTTTCTCAAATTATCGCCGTTATCCGTGACAAATATTTCGTTGTGCATTAGACACGTATGGCGGTCAGAGTAGAATTCAGCAAGAATCATTTGGATGTATGCGTGCAAAATATTAGCCATTTGCACAAAATGGAACCTATAACTTGACTGTACTGCATTCCGCGATGGAGTCGATAAAGAAAAATCAAAATGCTTTTACAGTGGCGGATTGGTACGGACTCTTCAATAGATAGGGGATAGATCTGGTATAAAATCAAAACCAAAGCTGCAAACATGAACATGGAGTAAATCCTTCGAAGTATACAAAATTCCGTAACCTGTAAAAATTATCAGTCACTGCTATAAAGAACCGAAACAAAAACGGGTATAGTCGTTATAGTGGGCCAGAAATACGCATTAAATACTTTATACCATCTTGTTTTTCATATAACGACTTTTAAAAATGAAAGGTTAAGTGGGAAGAGGTCGAAAAAGTGATCCGATTCAAACCATTTTCAATGGCGTTAATCCTTCCTTTCGGCCCAAACAGATCGATGCAGCAAATTTCATCAAAATATCTGCAAAAAAATAGCCGCCTGTACGTTAAACACAAGACAACAAGACGGACAGGCCGACAGACAAGCTCAGAACGGACGGGCAGACTACGTAGAAACACTTTCTGAATCGATCGCGATCATAAAAGATGGGTCTATCTCAAGTCCTTCTGTTTGTTGTATAAATCCGCATGAACTCTTTAAGACAAATGGTCCATAGTACCATGAGAGCGTGAGTGAGAAGAGGGGCATGGCTCCACATAATTGTTGCCGAAAGAGATCGCAAAAACGCAATAACTATTGACTTGAAGCTTACACACTCTAGTCTTGTATCTACTTCGTTAACAAAAAATAATGACATTTCCGATGAAAGTTATCTCATGGTGTAAAGGTTGACCCGCCAATGACAATTCAGTAGAGCTTATCGGCGCCGTTTAAAGGTAAAAGTGACTTAGAGGACGATTAAATGACTGATTGAAATGTTTTCTATTCGTTTATTATATTACTCGTTATGTTCATAACTCGAGGAGGCAAAGTGCAGCAAATGCTTTCTCTGTATTTTCAATGAAAGTCATTCTATTTTAAATTAAAATATAGGCTTTAGTATGCAAACGAATTTATTTTCGACAATTTTCATATCGGAATCACGTTATCATCTCTAATGAGCGGAAAACGCGCTTGATGAGTTTTTCTTGTCAATCGATGATCTGCTCTCCTCAAAGCAGTGAAAAGTACAAAGATCGCTTAGGTCCCTGTACGGATTGCGGACGTGATAATACAAGGCAGTCAAGAGAATTGAAACGCATAACAAACACTCAGCGGACAATCGGAATAAAGGCGAGTAACAAAGCAAATCTATTCGTATACTTGTACATAGCTAGTAGAGCATTCTTCTTGGTTGAGAGAAGAGCGAATTGATAGGGCAATAATAAGGAGTGAGGAAACGTATCATAGACTTCAATGCATTTGTAACATCTATAAATGTGCATTGCAAAAAGAAGCGTCGGACATGAGCACGAGATTCCAAGTCGAAAAAGCTGGCTCGTATTGCGTCAATCAGTCATCTCTTACTGAAGCTCTTACGACGACCGAAAGAAAGATAAAAGACTGGCTCTACGCCTAGATTTTCTTTGCTGGCAACCAAAGATCGATCTCTGCAATGCAAGGGTAACCAACGTAATATTATTATTAGCCGAAGGCATATCAGCAACCGTGTTTCACTTTCTAGGCAATTGACACGAGCGAGATTAACCAAATACTTTGCAATTTCTTTGTAACCTTTCTCTCCAAAGTGTCTGTTATTCGAGATTGAATTGAAGGCCCTTACGAAGTTCTTGCCTTGTTGTGAGGTGTTGTCAAAAAGCTTTTCCAACCTTATCAAGTTGGGGAGAGCAACAAAAGTAAAGCCGCTTCTATAACCACTTCTAGTAGAGGTCTAGAGGGTTTGTAAATGGACTTATTAAGACTATTTTATTCTGAAATAATTATATTACTCTTACAAGTATTAGGTTAAGGTAAATGTTCGTGGCGTTTTCTCACTGAAGAAACCTGAATATATTTCTTTACTAAACCAGATATAACCCGCTTTGACTGATAACTTTTCGCCATTTTTCTGATGCCAACACTGAAGAAGTCCTGGGATTTGCGTCCGACAAGCCGTAACAAGCGACGTTTAAAGCCCTGTTGTGAAGACAACTTTGCGTCTTTAAGAGAGAGTTTTGTAGAGAGGTAGGCATACGGGCTAAGGTCCGCGCTGCACGTTGAGCGCCTCAAATCTTTCCAATCAAACCTTCGAATTTTTTTTCTAGTCATTAAAGACGCATCTTAAGTGTAGCTTAGCGTTGTCGCTCTGAAAGACAGTGGCTTTCCTTTCAATCAACTCTCTATCCCTGTGAGTTTTAAATGGCTTGCTGGTTGACAGTAGGGGCTGTAGTTTAACAAGTGGATACAGCCCGTGATGCACATTTCACTGCCATTTGCGCCGAACAGAACATCTTAAGTAATATCAATCTAACATTTACCGGCGTTTCTTCGGGTTCATCTATCTTGAATGATAATTCCTTTCGCTTGTCAGTCTCGTGTATGACCCAGTTTCCCTTGTCCGCTTTTGTTTCGTCAGCGATTCAAAATTCACTGCAATTTTTTCTGTTAACGTACATGTGGTAACCAAACGTCATCCTTTATTCAACCCTGCGAAAATAATTCGACAGCGACGTCATATGATGAGATGTGGCTTCCTTAGCTTTTTCAAGAATTTCACCGAATTTTCCTTTCTTTTCTTTCACTCGACCACTCAAGGACTGTCTCCCTGCGAACATTAACTTGGTGGCGGCAATTCTTATCTATTCGGCTACCCAAGCGGACTTTAATAACAATTGGTCGACCATGCCGCGTGTGTGGTTAATACTGCAGGTTCCGCAGAGGTAAAACGAGCAAACCATTTGTTTGCTCTTAAATTTGTAAAGCCTCTCCTCCACAAACATTTTCGCAGACCCGCCAAGCATTATCGTCGGGATCGAAGTCATAGTGTAAACTATAGCGAAGGCGCGAATATATCGACTACGTTCGACTGGATAAATAAATGTTACAATATTTTCTTCTTAGTTTGTAGTGTCGCTTTCAGACGCCCTACAATGTGTCAGGTTAAGTGTTATCAAAGTTGAGAGATTTTAGGGCTACATTTTCGAAACTATTTAAACGCCACCAGGTTTTTCGTTGAGCTGTTAATATGTGCCCTGCCTCACATTATGGATGGCAAGCGTTCATTTTTACCTTTGAACAGTAATTTGGATTATAAAAGAAAAGTGCTTGTACGCAGTTTTAGCTTCTTGCCTCAAATTTTGCGAAATTTAGGGTTTGCCGAAACGTACAGATGGACAGCCGTCTGTAACTTAAATTCAAGGTTCGTAACCTCAAAAATGCTTAAGAATAAATGTGCTTTATTCATTGCCTGATAAATTTTTCCGCCCTCGGATTTGGTTCAATTAATTTGTCAATCAGTTCTCAAGGGGCCTATTGGGCTTCATTACAATTTTGTGATCTCTGCAATTTTGATCTTTTATCTTACCTCCTCTTTGGTCATACAATTTTTATTGGATCCATTTGTGTTAACGTCATGATTGTTGCAATGTTCCGCTACCGAGAACAAAGGACAATTGCTCGCATCCAAAGGTATGCACCATTGTATAGCATTTAATAGAAACAATTCGGACCAAGACTCTTCCAATAATATAACCTAAAATTTATAAAAGCAATGAATGTAAAGAAGAAGATTTACGTCATGGAACAAACTGACCTGATCGCGAAAGGATAAGCTAGCAAAACTGGGTAAGTTTTTAGCCCATTTCACAGCCATAAACAGCAAACGAGCACTTGTCTCATAGACAGTTTCCTGCTGATGCACATACAAGTTCGGAGACATTATCTGAGCGAAATCAAATTGTGGAGACTTTTCCCCATTAGTTGGCGTCTCATCCTCGTTGGTCACATCAATGGAATCATCTTTGAATAAAAGCGATATAAAATAAAACACTTTTAAATGATTTGCTTTACTTACCGTCGTTATCGTTATCCGGTGGAGGACTTGATGAGCTAATCGACGAAACACTGCCACTGATGGCATTTTTAGCTAATGCTGTTAAATGTATAGAGAGCAAAATATATTGGATTTAGTTGCTCTTTCTCACCTTTTGAATGCAACTTACTTACCGTTCTCTGGTGGCGGTGAACAGGGATCTATCGAATTGCTACTGGAAGAATTCGACGATGTAGTGGACATTGTACCGCTAGATAAATCCACTGTTAAGCCGTATCTTTTTTCTTTGATGTTGTTGTTGTTGTTGTTGTTGTTGCTATTATTATTATTGTTGTTGTTGTTATATATATTATGACTAAATACATTAAAGTTTCCTGTAGCACTGTTGTTATTATTATTACTATTCATAGACGATGTTAATTGCATGGAAGTGGCGGCCAAGTGATTGTGATGTAATAGACGTCCCGTCGGCAATGCTGAAAGTGCTAAAACACCAAAATCATTGTAAGAATCTGCCTGTGTATATGTCCGTGCAAAAGTGTGAACGTGTGAATGCGATAATTAAATTGCTTGCTTGCGCTAAACAAATACACGTCACAGCATAGAACTTGTCACTGTCTATGAAACTCATCAGTGCGCGCGCGAGCAATGACAAAAAACAACCACAAGTAGTAATACTTACATGGTGGCGGCAGTAGAGCTGGTCCGTAACATGGTGGTGACAATAAAACCGGTGGTCTACGCATAACACGTTCATTATTGTTACATTAAAAGGCGTTACAATAGTTTTATATCGTGCACGTTATTGTTGTTGTTGTTGTTGTTGTAGTTGCCGTTGTTTTTGATTTTGATTGTGTTGTTGTGAAAAAGACAGGCTTGTTAACGAAATTCGTTTGCGGCAAAGTTTATGAAAATGAGTAACTTACCCAAAAACTCCCACGGCTACAGCTGCTTCTCGTAGGGCACGTCCATGCTCCATCTCCCGCAGGGTCTCCGGTCGTATAGTGGCCGTGTTACGAGGCTGACGTTCATTTTGCACCGCTGTAATTACAAAAACACATAATACAACACACGTTCACTTTTTGGTTTTCTCATGTGTTTTGCATATCCTCGATTCGCATAGCGTACAACACAATCTCAAATAAAGATCAAAGTCAACGTAAAACATGTATAAATGAAAGTCATTACGATGAGCACCTTCAAGGCATTTTTCAGCTAAACAGCTCCATAAGCATTTTGCTTTCAGTTTTATTTTAAGCAACAAATTTTTTTGAAAACTTTCCTTCTTTCTGTTCGACGGGCGTTCCGTGGGCGATCACGTCTCTTGACGGAAACGAAAACGAACACGTCGCGAGTAATATCTGCAATGGAATCTAGACTAGACAATAGACCATCTCCGTCAAAATCTTAGGTTAACTTTATCATTTATAGAAAGGACTCTTAACGGGCAGGAGTTCGCTCTGACATAATTCCCAAAAAATTTGACTTTTGGTTGTTCTATCATTTTGCGTACAGAAAGCACCTTATCGCGTGATCCATATTTGCTTTACTTACACCGCGTTGAAAATTTAGTTGAAAGGGATACTGGATGAAGAACGATGATAAATTTGCTCGATTTTCAATAAAAAGTATAGACTAACTTAGATCTACTTTCGGTTATCAAGTAGTAACACACTTCATTGATTTCACACATTTAATTGTGAACTTTACCCGATTTAACCTAATAAGCCAATACCTAAGTCACGTTAATTCCAGTTCTGTTAGTTGAACTGCCGCTCAAACGTCTCCGTGTCTATCAAATTTAATCGCGAACATCAACAACTTTTAAATTTCGATTGCGAACCGTAGCCCGCGAATAATTTGATGAATTTTCACGATTTCCAAAATCGGACGCATGTGAACAAAGCGGAAAACCAGTTAACTTGACGTATGGATCGCGGCTATTCTTTTGTTTTCTGCCTTTTTTCTACACGAGCAAGGGGACGTCCCCTATATATGTAACACGTCGATCGTCACAAAGAAGTGGGCAGAGGGGGACAGCGAGTGACCGCAGCAGAAGGTGGTGTATGGCCGATCCTTGCTATTCATGTATCACGGCTACGGTGTCTCACTTCACACCAATAGTAATTAAAGTATAGTTTACCGAGTATACGAACTTGGTGCTGGCGCTTTTTAACTGCTTGGATATAATACTTGGTACGGCCTTGAGTTCTCTCAGGGATATTGTCTTTATCTCCTTAATCGTGGCAAAACTCCGTCTTTTCACGGGTCTTTTCAGTTTCAGAAAAAAGTATGAGGCATGGGGAGCCAAGTTTGGTAAATAGGATGACTGAGTCATCATTGCGGCGTTGTCTTAGCCAAAAACTGACGAACAAACAATGACGTGTGTGCTGGCGCTTTATTGTGACACAATAGTACCACATTTCATGCCCAAAACATCCGAAAAATTTTCTCTAACAGTGATTCGACGATTCTCCACAACCCTGCTTGTTCACCACTTCAGCGTTTTCATTGATTGCCGAAGTGCTGGAGCGTCTATGGCAGGTGTCGTCGTTAACATCTTCTCGGCGCTCTGTGAAAGGCTTGTCTTACTTATAAATATTTTCTTTACTTAAAGTATCCCTACCAAATGCTACAGTCAACGTTTGAAGTACGTTGGAGCACTTAATTTTATTTTTCACACAAACTTTAATGCAGATTTTTTGATACATATTTTCCATAGGAAAAAATCGCCAAACAACACCAAACCACGTGTTACCTTTGTATCTGTTAGAAACCATCTAAAAATGCAAAATGGCGGATAATGTCAACATATGTTGGGGATATGTGTACCAAAATAAGAAGAAAAAAAATTAAAAATTGGATGGTCACCTTGCATACACCTCGTGAAGCCGTTCCAATTATTATAATATTTGTTTGACACCTGACTGGTTGTACTAGAACTAAGGACTCCCCAGGACTCTAGTGCAGTACTTTCGCGTTTCGTTTTTAGGTCAATAAGGAACATTGCATTGTTCAATCACATGAGGAGGCCGTGGAAGAAATAAAACATTGACAAAATTATATTGGATTATCGTCGATTGAAAGCTCACACATTAGCAAACATACATTAGGCATTCAAAAATGTGCAACACATCACATGAAAATTTGTACATGAAAACAACCTCAATGGAGGGCTTTTTTGCGCTGACGTTTCATGGCAATAAAGCCGAGTTTTTACATCGATTCGTAATCTTGAATGAAACATGTATTCATTATTTCGCTACTGTTTCTACGATAGGATTGAAAGCAATGGACTGAAAGAGGAGTATTGGCTCGAAAAAGAGCGTGAAAATGATTCGATACGATGATAATTTCCATTACTTAGTTTGGAAAAGGAAAAGCAATCAATGGCGAGTGTGATGCGGTCAATGATGAAATCAAGAAAAAGGAGCCCTGCTTGTTATTCTAGCACGACAACGTATCAGTTTCTGCAGATCTTAGGCCGCCGACCAAGCAGAGGTAACCCATCGCAGAATTTTCTCACTCTAAGCCTAAAAAAAGTGATTCGGTGATTTGAGTGCGATTGCATATAGCAGCAGGTCTAACTTGTTTTAAGGGAAAATTGTGTATTTATTTACTTATTTTCATTTTTTTCGCTACACTTTGCATGGCAACTTAATTAGGCAAAACACTTCTTCGAAAGTGAATTTACTTAAGATAACTCACGCAACGCACAATTTAACTTAATATCTATAATAAGCAATTAAGCGTAAGTTGAATGAAGGAAGCAAACGAAAATGACGTAGACTCGTGCAAGCCAGACCTGCACATCGATAATAGGCCGACTCGAACTAGTCTTAGCATGGCAAATCAAATTTGCTATCTTACGTCTCATTAACTTTAAATTCGAATATTAATTTATTGTATTACTTAGGTATGGCAGCAATAATCTTTGCTGAGTCTGATAAGAGCACAAGACTAAAAAAGTCATTCAAGTTTTCACATTAAACCTTAAGTTCGATTAAATATTTCACGACCTTCACGAGGGGCAGCTACGAACGTTAAAGTCAATTCCGATGAGCAAGCCCGACGAATCCGTAATGCTATTTATCAACTTGACAGAGAAAGTGATAAGTAAAATGAACCTCCTTTTCAGATCTAAATCTAGAGGAGAACTTGTATTTTTGGTGAGCTTCACTTTTCCCACTTCCGGTGGAGCAAAAAGGCATCAAATGGAATGCATAATGCAGGTGAATTCCATAAACAAACTGATAGTCGACATTACGTAGAGAAGCATTATTTTTTCACGCAAAATTTACTTGATTTTCCCTACACAGAGAGGCATGTTTTGGTGTTCAAAAAAAAGAAAATTCGCTAAACACTGACTCCACCAACTCCAACTCCGCTAAATACATATGAAGAAAGAAGCAAGAAGAAAATATATGAGGAAGAAAAAAAATAGGACGGAAGTTGACATTGAAGGTCGAATTGTAGGAGATAAAGGAGGCTTACGAGGCACGAAGATCGACAAGAAGAAATTAATCTCGACATGCCTTGGATTGAATCGAATGCATAACGGCATGCCCTGTCATGTACACACATGTACGCATCATATTTACAATTTGATGGAAGAATTTTCTCAACTCAAGCGACCGAAGAGATTATCTTTTAGTTAAACACAATTTCTTTCTGCTGAAGGAAAACACACCCGTAATATATGCACAAATATTTTCAATTGAATAAACAATATAGACATAAACGCTCATATTCGCATCTATCTCTCTATGACAGGCAACATCTTGTGCAACGTACTATTTACCAAACTTCAGGAAACAGTAGATTCCAAAAAAAAAACAAAAAAAAAAAAAAGAGGAAAAATAAATAAGTAAATAAAAAGGTAAACGCGTAGGTAAATAAAAGTATCATAGCGAGCGAAACGTATGAATATTTAAATAGTTGTTGCGAAAGGGTTGTAAAAAACGCTGCGGTTTGCTTTGTGCGGTCGTTGGTTATGATTTTGTTTATTCACATCAAAATGTGTCATTATCCTGTGGCTTTTCTTTCATTTATGAACAGCAATATTTAACGAGAACAACAAAAACAAACATAAAACAACAACAACAACAACAACAAAGAAAAGAGATATTTTCCAACAATGAAGCACCATTCGGAGGCACGTGCCCCTGTTTTTTTTTTTTTTTTTTTTTTTAGGCTAACAATTAAAGGCAAGCTCCACTTCATTATGCACTTCATTAACTCGATTTGCTTCTTTCTCTCTTTTTAATAATCTGCCGTGAAATGCGTCGGCAACTGTAGCAAGAGTTACGAGAGCAACTATGCAAACAAATATCGGTTGATTGACTTCTTTTTTTTTTAAACGCATAAATATATATGCGGTCTATATACGCTTACCGTCCTTGTTCATTCCCATTTGAAGGCACTTCTTGAGACGACACGCCTGACATTGATTGCGATGAGCTTTATCAACAACACAACGGCCAGTGCCGGCTTGACATCTGCAATGAAAGCATAAAAGACATGAAATTTTATCTGTATTATTAGAAGTACTCGTGAAATTGTTAAAACAAATTCAATTATCCTTAAGCACATCATACATACATACAAATGCTCGATATTCAATTATTTTGTACCATCAGGAATTAGCAGCAGCACCAGCAACAATGCCAGCAAATAATATAATAGCAATAGAAAGATAGCAAAAAATTGCAACATTTGTGATTTCTATACCGCAATCATTGCTTAGCTTCGTAATGCGATTTTTCCTTAACTATATGAGCGAATGTGCGCTTGGATGCGTGAGCTTAACGGTCAACGTGAACGTGTGTATGTGTATAACGTGCATTACCATTCACAAAAATATTAACAACAAAAGCGAAAATTCCACTTGAACAGAAATTAAAACTCATCACTTCAATGAGCCATCACAACCAAGGAACATCATCGTTATTGTCAAAGGACTCATCATAGGCGAAGCATAAATTTTGCTTTTACTAAATACGCAAACGAAAACTAGCGAGAGAACAGTTTTCTGCTCAGAAAGAGGTTAACCGAAGATTAAACGACAGAAATATATAAAATGAATCTCTCTTGGCCTGTCCTGTTGGTCATCTTGCTATCACCTTGCGCAGGGGGTGAACATAGGAAAAAGATCACTCATTGCCTCGTGGATATAGAAGGTTTCCTTTCCCCAAGTCCGTAATCATAATAAAATACGTCCGCTGTATATGATCGGATGAATGATTCAAATAAAGACAAAGTTTTCCTAAAGTGTGTACATTTCTTGGTCAGACTCTTTGTGCAATTTGACACCAAGGTGCATCTACAGCCACAACGGAATTCTTCCAAAAGTCTTTTCCAAATGTCTAGTCGGTACATAAAACACTTTAAGGCAAAATATCTCCCAGCTTGCTTGCAGCACTCAGTAAAAGAGACGGCTGTCATGCTTTCCAGGCCATCACTATAGATTTGGTAGTGCAATATTTATATATAATATATGTAATACATTGTCTCTGAACGAACCAAAAAAAGATGCCTTTCATGCTTCCCAAACCAATTTACGATACGTCTCACTATAAACGCATATCTACAACGGACTTTTTCTTCCCTATGGAACTGACATTGTGTTGACTTATATAAGCTCTTTGATGGCCTCAATTCCAATTGCTCCAGTCCTATCCGATTTTACGATAAAACACGCCTTCGCTCGCGTGATTGATTAGCTACCGCTGCAACTGGAATAAGAAGAACTCTCTATAGCGTAAATGGTTACAATCGTGACCCTTAAGGAGACTTTTAAAGGATCAAAGTAAACTCTAGCGCACTTGAGAATTGAATCCGCGAACACTGATTTGATCGACTTGCTAGTCGCGATTCTCACCTCCTCGGCTACTCATTTGTTGCTTGAGAAATTATCCCACGGACAGGAGTCGTGATAGAATTAATCTGATTGGAAATTCTTCTTTGCGTCCATTTTTATATTTTTCCTCCATCCTGACAAGGGGTACAGTTCTCACCTTTCCTCTTCAAAGAAATTAATGGATTCCTTGATTTTAAAACGATATTCCGCCAAAAAACTTTATTGATGTCCCCTTCATCTTTTCATAGAATAGCTTTAATTAAACTGACGGGAAGACGGGAAACTATTTAACTTGCTTTAAGCAAGACAAGGTAAGGATGTCATGCGATACTTTGAACTTGTTATTGCCCAACTCTTTTCATGTATTCAACTATTGCTGGCAAAGCAAATAATATTATCGTCAAATTCCCATCCGCTGCGGAAACCTTAGCTTAGGTTAACTATGTTACTCTAATTAATTTTATCTTAAATGGCAATTACTCGACAAATTACGCATAATTTAATAAAAAAAAAAAAAATTATATCAAATATTAAATGTAGACAAGAAATAAACGTTTGCCACTTATAAGGATATATGAAAAGCAAAAGCAAAAAAAAAGACAGAAGAAAAAAATGTCCCAAATTGCATGCGAAAAATGGACCCAAAGCAATGTAAATGAAAAGCAAAACGCGACGTACAACATTTAAGTATCAAGCCATCAAAATATTATTTTGTAATATGCTGCTGCTAAGGCTTATGGCTGTTATTTAAATCGCAAATGTCAAAAAATGTTTTATGAAATTATCCTTTCTTTACCCCAGGGACTGACATGAAGCTTAACTGCTATGCACTTGGCCAAATGTGACCGTCCGCATTAAATTTCGTAAATCGCGTTAGATTTGATTTGGTATGATGATGGCGAGCGAGCAGAATTGGGGGGTGCAAAACGTATAGAATAGGATTGAGAGCGATGAAAGGAAAAGAAGAATGATACAACAACAAGAAAATGTGAAAAAGAAAAATTATCCATAATCTCAGCCACATCATATACTGTTAGAACGTGTTCCATGAGTAAACTTGTTTTGATTTGATTGTCTATTCGGTCACAGAAATAATGCTTTGACTGAAGTAGTAAACACATACACACACGCACACAAAACACACAAACTTATGTAAAAGAATTCGATTATATGCCATCACTTGATATTTCTTTATTTGTCTGACAATGGATGGTGCGTTATGAAGGCATATAAAGGTATTTGTGAAGTATAAGAACAACAACACCAACAATCACAACTAGCAGCAGCAACTACAACAAGAAAAGTTTATATATATATACTTTTGACAAATGAGAATTTCAATTCCTTTCATCCCCACTTATATAAGAAAAAAAAAAAAAAAAAAAAAAAATATTTGCTTTATATCATAAATTTGTTTATGTGTACGTGTTTGCGTGTAATGAAAAAAGTTTTACTTGTGCGCTGCTCTTCCTCGCTTAAGACGATTTACAACTGGCGTAGCTTTTACAGAAATGCATTGAATTTCGTGGTCTACTTCCCTTCTTTTTTTTTTTCTTTTGGCGACAGAAAGTTAACCTCATCTCTTGTTCTGAGCTTAATATATTTTGTTTCTCTTTTGTTTTTGATATAATGATTTTTATTTAAACGAAATTCATTGAATTACACGCATTGCAATAAATAATAATCTTTATATGGAATAAAATTTTATAAATTTTTCTTCTTTCTAAAGTATAACTTAAATAAATCGATGCTTTTCGATGGGTTTGTTGAAAAACTTGTATAACATTTTCGTGTTCGAAATAATTAGAAATAAATGAACAAATTATAGTCGGGCAAGACCGACGATTAGATCCCTAAATATACGACAACGTAAAACCAAATTTTTCTATCCAACTACTTTTGTTAAACCCTACACCACTTATCGTGCAAGGGTATGTTAAGCTTGTGCGCATGTGTGCAATAGCCAGAGGAGCTTGAGATAGACTCAACTTTTGTTATATCTGTCTATTTAGAATCCCTTTTTTACATCAATCTTAGTTTGTCTGTCGGTCTGTCCGTCTTGTTGTTTTGTTTTCTTGTGTTCAACCTAAAGGTCGTAATTTTTAAAGTATTTTGACGAAAATGATACAGGGGCGTGTTTCGGTCCAAGGACCCTATTGAATATATTTGGGATCGAACTATTTGTTTGTATACTCTTCATATGAAGCCTTACTTTAAAAAGTTGTTATATGTGCAACAGTACTACTGTGCGGCATATAATGTACGACGGGACGTCACCTAACATAATGTTTTTACTTTTTTTGCGAGTAGATTTATATCACTGAATTGTGAGTCTTTTGCTGGACATAGGTTTTATTTACAATTTTTAGAAGATCTATTTACAGATTATTTACAAAAACTTGTATTTACAATATTTTAATGCTTCTTCTGTTATTGCCCTGCTCTCGTGACTCGATTGACTTTGCCTTCCGCATACAATCACCTTACATGCTCTTTTCACAAGCAAATTGTAAATGCGGAAAATCATTGTGACATGATTGTATTGATGCCAATCCCTTTTTACCTGAGAAATGTTCTGCGACTTGTTGGTAATCTTTCCGCGAGTCGGCAAGTTGCGACGACAAGTAAAGCATCACGAATCCGTATTTCATGTCTCCATTTTAAGGAATTAAGTTCTTAGAAAATCGGTTGAGGGATTTTCGTAACAATATCTTAAACTAACTTCAGTCCAAGAATTTATTTCAATGAGTTAAAGAAATTATTATAATAGTGCTAGAGATGTATCGAATGGGAAATTGAGGAGATGAAACTTTCGTGCTCCGTACACCTCCTCCACTTCGTATGTAATCGAGAATATAACTTAATAAATATTTTATCAACACCGTAAGTAAGCATTGCCAGATACAAATGTTAACCATTCAATATGTTGGCATTACCTGTTACAAGTGTACTGTGATCAAATAACTTTTTTATTTTTTTTTTATTTTGAAATATGAATTAAATAGTAAAAGGCATTGACATCAATTTTGTTTTAGTTTGAACATGGGTTCATGCCATTTTTATTTAAAAAGAATGTAATATCTCTAGACTTTTATAAAAACTCAATTTTTGCCACTTTTCCGCATAAATCTGCGCTTATTTTACCAATAACACGAATATTGATGATGATGAATAAGACCGTTGAGCGTTCGTAGTTTCTGCACTAAGCCAATGTTCCAACATCCACTCAACGTAAAAAGTCCAATAGACTTATATCACAAGATTTTTATGCCAAGTCCACGTAGGCAGTTTTGCAGATAACAGGCGCGTTTAACGTTTTTCGTAACATATTGATGGTGCCACGAGATATGTGGCAGGTTGCAACATTATGCTAAAACCACATATCGCCCAAAGTGAAGTCAGCTAATTTATGCTACAAAAGATCATGTCTCCGTAGCGTTCTGCACTATGGGTAACTGCAACGCCATTTTGATGTAAAAAAAAGAGATTTTTAGCCCACAAACTGCACCCAAAAATTATTTTCACATATGTAAGAGTCCTTTAGGAATTTCAGGTGTGTTTTCTTTACACCAAGGGAACGATAAGCCTTATTTACAAAGTCATCTAACCAAATATGAACTTCAACCCACGTGCACGAAACGTAACCGCGATGTGTTCGCAATAACTTTTAGCAATTTCTGTACGCTATATAGCTATGTATGAATTGTATTTCTCGTTTAGTGTATGAATTGCATTGGCAAGATCCAAGCAATGTATTGCAAAAGAAATTTGATCCCAATCCTAATCACAAGTGTGTTTTATTTACATTTACTTTCGGAACAATCCACCAGCAGAGTGGACCAAGCAGGCTATGGGTCTAGACTAACAAATCAACGGTCGTGCATTCAAATCTCAAGTGCAATTTTTTTGTTTTAATAAAACCGATAATCCTAAAGCGCTAGCACTTGAGCTTAAGTTTACTGTTAGAATGATTTCTCGGGCTAAATTAATTATAATAGCAACAACACTTTCGGTACATCGAAATGGACAACCCTATATTTCAAGGCAATATATAGTCATTGGCAGTATCTCTCTTTTCGACGGTTATAGTAATAATACCTCAAAGAGTTCTTATAATCACTGCATAACTGTATCAAAAAAATGCAAAAGAATCGAAGATTTAAACGACTTCTTCTACTTCTTTACCATGCGGAGCAACATACTGTATATATTGTAGTTCCTAGGTTCTAGGTTAAGGTGAGATTAACAATAGAAGTTCGAAATCTACGATGGGGCGAAGCTTGCAGCCACGCAGTTATACAGAAAGCGTCCATTCAAACTAAATTTGAGAGATTCATCCGAGGAAAGTCATATCTGTCCGAAACCGTTAACGGAGCCTAACACGTTCCACGAATCCACTAATAAACTGAATACTCTCACGATCCATTCGAGCTGAATGTCGCGATACTGCTTTCGTGCACTTTCGTAAGCTCCTCTTGGCAGACAATAGCGAATGCTTCTGCCGAAGGACCCAATGGAACGCGTTGTCTTGCCCAGTTCTACATGTGATACATCCCTTCCAGTGCTACGCAGTCTCAGGAAAAAAACTTCCTTTCAAGGAGACTAAACCTTCAGAACAATTAATTGTAGTCGCAACCAGTCGCAACTAGAAAGATGTATTTTAAGTATTTTATTGAGACATTGCGTAATTAGGGCGAACTTTGAAAGTGATTTTCCTTTGAATATTTTTGTTGTTATTGCCAGGCAGGTAAAAATTTCCAAAAATATCAGTCAACTTCGATTAAAGAGATTTTGAACACAAATATTGAAATTTGCGCCAATCTTCCGATTACATCCGGGGCTTAATAAATTTTGTAAAAATACAAATAATGCGTCAACAACCACCATTTTTCTAATGTTTTTTGACCAAAATTCAAAACTATCGACAATGTTTTGCATTTTTTTTTGATAGAACCAGATCTTTAGTATTTCTGGGCTTATTAGGTAATAGGAACGATGAAAGAAATAGGAGTGAAAATGTTCGCAATGATTAACAAAAACTTGCTCATTAGTTGCAGTAAAAGCTCCTTATTCGTGCTTCTTTTATTCGCGGTTTTACTATTCGCGGCTACAAATTTCTTCATTCGCGGATTTTTTGTGACTGGTTCCGGAATTGTTTTGTTTTTGAAGTTGAAACTAATTAAAACACAACTGAATTTAGACTTTAAAGCATTTCTAGTTTTGGACAATGCACCAGGTCATCCTCGCGAACTTGAAACTATGCATCCAAACATGAAAGTCACATTTTTACCTCCCAACACGACGGCTTTGCTTTAACCTATGGGGCCAAGGAATAATCCAGGCCTTTAAGCTCTACTACATTATACGAACCTTCGATAATATGGAACGTAATCCTGATATGAATGTTATGGAATGCAGGAAGAAATTTGACGTAGCAAAATGCATCGTAAACATAAAAGAATCATTGGAAGAACTGAAGCCACACACATTGAAGTCATGCTGGAAAAAACTGTGGCCTGCTCTGACTGCGGAAAATGACGATGAATCTATGCAAGTTCAAACTTTGACTGCAAACATAGCTGAAGTCGCGAATGGAATAAGACGAGATGGGTTCGAACAGATAGAATCAAGTGGAATTGCTTGAATCGCGAAATTAAGATTTGACTGAAACCGACTTGGAGGAAATGATAAATTCACAGCCCATTAAAGAAGAGGCTTCAACAAGCACTGGAAATGTGATATTTAGTATGAAAACTCTTAGTGAAGGTTTAAGAATGCAAATGAACATTGATCCGTCTATGGAACGAAGTCTTTTTTTGAAGAGGCAAATTGCTAATGCGACTGCTGCGTATCAGTCTGAATTGAAGGACCTTTTAAAAACTGCCAAGCAAGAGAAACTTACAAAATTCTTGAAACCATTGCCTAAGCCTTAAGATAATTAATCAAAATGTTCAAAAACTTCAATTAAATTGATTTGTTTTTTATTTTGTCACCTAGGAGCGTATCCCCTATAATCCCATATAAATTACCATTCCGTATTCACGGTTTCTGTATTCGCGGCGTTTTTATGGAACGTATCCCCCGCGAATAAGAAGCTTTTACTGTATAGTACTTTTAAACTAACTTACGGTCGAACAACCAAATGCTGTAACCATACTTTTATGGCTGAGTTTCATACTCTGGCGATCAAGGTGGTGATGTTCATTATCGACTTCACTTACTTTAGGCACAATGGAATATTTAACAAGCAATTTCACAGAATTTTATCTTAACATGACACGCAGTCCAATCAGTTGTTTAGCACGAAGGTTATGCCGGCGGCTGAACAGTAAGGCTTTTCAATACATAATATCAAAAGTTAACGGGTCTACTGCATCATTCCATTACGACCAACTATCTAAAACATTTAGTTAGCAAAGCAAGGCGTAATTAGAAAAGAAGCCTCAGTTGCAAAGAAACGTTTTACGGGTGTAATTAAAATAGATGTCGACATATGGTGATTTTTTTTTTTAAAAGACTCATTAATCAACAACCTACCGATTGATTAACTGTACTTCAAATATTGTGCGAACACAAGTTAGAAGTATTTTCGAAGCTTTTGAAAGAATTTCACGCATCCAACTAAGCCTTGATTCTAAGATTGACTCAAAATATTATAGAGAATGAGATGAAATTGCGTAATGAAGAAGTAAAAACACTAAAGTGGGACGCAGATCACTATTAAATACCGTACATTACTTCGCTCACTATAATCATTCATAGAACAATTTTTCAAAATAAGGGAAGTGACCGAGAAAGTGGTGCAACCCAAACTATTTTCAATAGTTTTTGCCCCCGGGCCAAAGAAAGTCGATATACCAAATTTCATCAAAATATCTCAAGTATTACGAATTGTGAGTTGAACAAAAGAAAGTAAAACTACCAGATGGCAGACAGACGGACGAGCGGACGGATGGACAGGCGAACTTAGGTCGATTGTGAAAGTGCCAGTCCATCGAGAGAATAAGATGTGCGCTCATCTCAAATCGTCCCAAGTGCTGCATACGTCTGTGCAAACTTAATACACCCTTGCATGCCAAGTGATGTAGAATATGAGTGAGATATGTTGCATAATGGGAAATATTTTTTATTCCATTGTTTTCCATATGTTAGATCACAAAAGAATTCAGCGGAAATCTCATCGAATTCTCTTCTCAGCAAATGTAAATAATTTTAAATATTCAAAACTTTCCAAGTCTTTGCAAAAAAAAAAAATTTAAACGTTAAAAACCACTTATTCATAATATAAAATAATTCACGTAATGCATTCCATCACGTGTCGTTGCGCTCATAATTCCTAATCCATTTTATTAAAAATAATGCGAAGAAATGACGGCATTTAATATAAACCATGCCATGCCCGCCGTTAAGCGACAATTAAATGCATAGAGAAGAAAAAAAATTTAATTTTCTTAAGTGTTCCCGCACTCTCCAAATCGTGATTCGTCTCTCTTCTTCTTATTTTTATTTATACTAACCTGTAAATAAGTTTACGGCGAACGCTGCGTTTGAAGAAACCGGAGCAGCCATTGCAAGCTAAAATACCGTAATGTTTACCGGAACTGGTATCACCACACACCACACATATGAGACCGAGATTTTGATTTTTGGAACGTGGCACAGCGAGGCAAGTTGGTTCGCCGCCACCGCCGCCATTTGATTCTGTATTGTTTGCATTTGACGCAGCTGCATGATGATTCCAAGGTATCAAGCGATTTTGGGGCGGTGTACAACATAATCTCGTTGGATTTGGAATATCTGCAGAAGGCAACGGAAACAAAAAAAAAACATAAAACAAACAAGAAAAGAAATGTGAATTTAAAAAAAATTCTATTAAAACACACACACACACACACACACACACACACACACAGACACACACACACACACACACACACACACACACAGCCACACTCATGTAGCTATATAGACAAATTTAGTTAATTTGAATTTTATTACTGTAACGACTCTGGTGTCGCCCTTCGCTAAGTAAATTGCTTCAGCACAACTATTTCATATTTAGCATAATTTCCACCACTTTTCTCCGTAGTATAGCATAAAAGCATAAAAGTTATATTTGTTAATGTTGCTATACATATATACATATATATACATATATATAAGCATATATATATACTCGTATGTACTCATTCAATTAGGACACCATTAAGGGCAAGCACATCACTTACCGACATCAATCTGCAAACAAAGAAAAAGAAAAAAAGTTTTTTTCTTTTTTTGCGAAAATTTGTCTCGAGGGACAATTGTTTTCTCATCACACCCTAATTTGATTTGTACAGTGATTTCAATTCAAATGTGGCCCGGCACTTAACCCCAGTCGGCCCGTCATTTAGTCAGTCGCTCAGTCAGTCAGTCAACCAGTCATATACTTATTTAATTTATAGTTTATCTTATGTCTTCTCTACAAAGCTTATATATGCCACCCGATTCCATCCATCCACTTTGTATTGTTTGTAGTTTGATAACAGGCAAGTGAATATGTAAACACACATACGCATACACATACGCTATGCGGAATCCGTTAAACACCAACTGCGGTTTAATGCCGCCGGGATTAACGTCATATGTTTGAATTTTCACCAGTTAATTTTTATGAATTTTTTTTTTTTTTTTATTATTCATTTTTTCACTCTTTCCCCGTTAAACATTATGACTTGTGTATCCTTTCAAGTTTTACTCTATCAATCCATATATATATATATATATATATATATATATTTATAGATATAGACAAATGTAGTCGCCACTATGTACGAATGTATATTATGGTAAGTTTGTATGTGTGTGTGTGTGTGTGTTTGTGTTTGTTTTTAGTACGTGCGTGCGTGTTTTCTTTTGTTTAAGTAAAAGTGTTAACACAATTTCCTAAACCGATTTACCGTTGTTGTGATATGAATATTAAGGATCTCTTGATTGAGTCAAATTTAATTCAATTATAAACCAAATACAATGAAATCTTATACGAATGTAGTCATTTTCTACGTGCATGAATATAAATTTCATATTTATGATAATTATATTTGATGATGATATTGATGATAACATTGAGACATAAAGTAAATGATATCAATGAGCATGGATTAAGATACAGGATCTACGTACGAATAGTTTCGTCTCCTGCATTAAAACTATCGATTTCTTCTATTTACCTTTTGTCTTTCTTTTTTGAAATCATTATGGGACTTGCGGGCAATATTTAGTGCAGAGCATACCAAAATTAATATAAAGAACTATTTTTCGCTTTTAGCATTTATATCATTTCGATAATAGTACTTGCTTCTAGCTATCTTCATAATTTTATTTTAAATTTACTTTCCATCTAAATTAACTATTTAGGAAAATGAACAACAAATAGATAACAAGTACGACAAGTAAGAAAATCATATTCGATCGCGACAGAATCTCTTACACCCAACACCTTTATCCCAAAAAGCCCTAAAAATTCAAAGAACTAAATTTTCATACTCTCTAATATTGGGCGGGGTGCAGTTCATTTTTTTCTATTTTCAGAACAAAAGTCGATTTTTATATGCTGTATGGGCGGTGCTTTCTGAGTAACAAGCAGAAAATAAGGCAAGCAGACGTATTCGCTTCTTTTGCTACATAGGCGTGCGGGCTTTGTGGGCGTATCTTTTAATCACTTTGCGTAATTTTCACATTCTTTTGCATATTTTTAGGCGATATCTCATTTTTGAGAACAAGAGAAAGGTTGCCATTGATACTACTCTCCTTGGCAGACGGACGGATGGACACATGAGCAGACTGCTATGCTAGCAGACTCATTCTTAATTCGAAGGAATTGGAAAAAAAAATAAACGAAAATTTCATACATTGTAATATTGGGTAAGCCAGATGAATTTTGCCTATTTTACTACATATTTTACTCTACAGCATCGCCCATGGAACACGCATTCCAATTTTTGCACGTTTATCTGCTACAGTTCATGAATGCCGATTAAAAAAATCAACTTTTTATTCCTTTTGAAATACCGAGGTATATTCACTATACCTAGCACCGTAGGCGTGCCCTTCCATGCATTTGCCCCATTTTTAATACCCACCTGTCAGCTTTTTTGCCAACTTTGAAGGCGATACCTTCATTTTTGCTGGGCGTTGCGATCGTGTCGAAAAAACGCCCGGAATAACCCTCATCCTTCGGTGGCCGGTAAAAAAAGGGGAAGAACTAAATTAGAACATCTAGAAGATTAGGTCCACGTGATTGATTTTTTCTATTTTTATAGAATAAAAATGGAAGTTCGTATTGTACGTCTGAAGCAAATGTTTCCATTTTCGCTCTCACAACACATTAGCTAAGGGATGTACGGACAGATTGACAAATATGTTTGAAACAATTATCAATAGTATATAGACCTTATTGTGCGCCTCAAGCTTGGTACGTGCAAAGATTTTGATAAAAGAATGAAATATTATTCATATTGTGTAATGTTGAGTAGGAGCGACCGATTTTTTCCATTTTCCTAAAGACCCGCCCAAAGAATATAAGAAGAAATTTTTATCTTTGTATCTGCTGCGGTTTACAGGAAACGTGCAAAAAACCAAATATTTTTTATTGCTAGAAGCAAAGTCTGAGGTCTGGGGTTACGTAGCGCTGTTGTCATATTCTGAAACCGACTTGAACTAATTTCAACACCAATCTGTATGCCGGCACTTTCAATGTTTCTAGCAAATTTGAAGCAGATATCTCCCTTTTTGCGACCAGGAAAATGTAACCACGTAGACAATCAGACAGACGAACGGTTCCGGATCAAGACCATCAAAACTTTATGGGATCTCTGAAGCTTGCTTCTGAGTTTTTCGAAGTTTTAACAAAATGCATACACACTTCAACCTTCGGTGATGGATATAGAAGGCAAGCCCTGAAATCCTAACCATACAGATAGATAGAAAGAGTTAAGCGCTTAAAATTCAGGGGAATCCTGCGGTGTAAATCTATTTCGAGCTTGTAAGCAATCTAATAGAGACTTATGTCATATGTCTAATGTTGACGCGTTGGCACTTTCCGCTGATTGTTAGATCTATCCGCATAAATTTCCGAATAAGGCGACAAACATATATTCCCAAACAGAGTATTTAAGCAATGCCAAATCAAAACTTTTGTTACACGCGAATTTAATTCAATTTGGGACACTTTTCGAAGCTACGCCAATACCCGTCATCCACGAATTATTTCACTATGTTGGCAATTAATGCATAGGCGCTTTGAACCGACAAAAATTTCGCACTCTCGTTGATCGTTTTGCCTCCCCGATAAAAAGCCTATCCAATTCAAGTTTTGATGAGCTGAGTGCATTTAAATTAAATTTTCCTTACAAAGGAGTTACTAATTATTTTTAGCATTCAAAAGTAACTCCAAAGGCTTACATCTCCTTGGAAAAAAATACAGTTTTTTTTGACAAAATTTAATTTGAAGGTATTTTTTATATGTTTTAAGTTTAATTCTAAAAAGTATATTCTCAACCTCACAACCCTTGGACAAACGGAACTAAGCTTTTGTGTTTGATTCTCTCGTGAGTTGGATACAAACGCAATTGAGATAAGCTCATGTTAATGTGACAACTGTTTTCGATACATCCGGAATGCTACGACCCAATTGGAGTTACTGTATGAGAAAGTTGAAAAATCGCAATTTTTAATCTTTTACTGGGAAACCAAACTGGACTGGAATCCAAAAGGAAGACTGAATAAAGTGTGTCCTTATAAAGGGAAAGCAATGAGCATGTAAACCATGGCCACGTGAGGACAGGTAAGTTAAAATCATAAAGATGCAAATCAAAATATGTCAAGTATGTAATAGACGGCCTTAGCTAACACTCTAGTTACTCTCAAGCACGTCATGTTACTCTCAAGCACTTCCAGTCGACATTTTCATACGATAACATACCAGTTTCATATTTACGTACTTGACACAACTAAGGCAAGGCGAGATAATAAATCAACGAGATAATGCAATTGATGACGTTTTACCACTGATGAAAGCAATCAGTAAAGTTTCACCGAAACCATATAAATCAAATGAATTCTAAGGCGCGCTTAAGACGATATCTACAAGGGTAAGGAGCCGATTTCGAAGACACATATTCTCTGGTTGCTAGCTTAAAAACGACGATTTTTTTCCTTCAGCTGAATTTCAAGACGACTTGTTTGCTTGGCTCTCTAAAGATAAGATATATTAGATGATTGCATGTATTTTGCCCATTTTTTCAATTGAAAAAAGCATTTATTGAAATATATTGTTACAGTATATTGTTACGGAAATCCCAAATCTAGTCATTTTCTACAACCAAATTTACATTCGCTAGGCGTCGTGCAGCTGCAGATCGATGAAAGCGATTAGTGGAAAAACAGACAGGTAAAAGCAGAGTACACATTCGCAGGCGCCTCTTGCAGCTGCATGCCGATGAAAACGATTACCAACAAAAGCAGGTTAACGAATTAAATATCAAGTCATAAAATTAGGTGCTAGTAATAGGATTGCAAAGATGTATATAAATAGAATATTTGTGAAAGACAAGAGAGTAGAAAAAGAGTATTTGAGTTAAGCAGTCGAAAGTATTGCCAAAAATAATTTGTAAATAATCCTACATTAAAAGAAATATAATTGTAAACAAAAGAACTTTGAAATGTATTTCTCTTGATCAAAATATCTACGATCTAGTGATGCGGACTGTATCTCATAAAAGCAAATTTCATAACAATATATTAATCAAAATATTTTCCATCATTGTTTGCAATCTTTGGCGCACCTCGAAAGAACGACTCTAAGTTGGCAGCGATCCAATCATCGATCCATTTTCGCACTTCTTCAACTTTGCGAAGCTGCGTGCCAGTCCTGCCATGCTGCATCGATTTGAACAAGTGGCATTCACAAGGCGCCATGTCTGGTGGGTACGCTGTGTGTGACAGAATCTCCTATTCGGGCTGCAAGAGTGTATCCTTGACCACTTTCGCAACAAGTGACCGAAAAATGGTATTTTCAGTCAATATTTGTCACCACTTTTGAACCATTGCATGCAAAACCGACAATTGGGATATGATGAAACACCATCAACATAAGCTTCTGAACGTAGCTTGGTGGGCTTCGACCCTTGATTTCTTCAAATGAATGCCGAAAATGCAATTTTAACGTTCCATGATTGGCGCCTGTATACAATGAATGTCCCCGTAACAATAAATTGGAAAGTGTTAGAGAAAGGTCAAAATAATCGGATTGAACCGCTATGTGCATCGGTATTCCCCATTACTTTATCATTTTTACCTGCACAAGTCGAGGGTGAAAATTAACGTTAAGTCCCAATATATTAAAATACCAAAAGTAAAAGAATTGTGCAACTGAATATGTATTATAGCTTTTAAGATCTGTCAATTATTTGAGACAAGTACGCTGGAGCGAGCAGGTTAACGATTATTTGATTGATATCGTCTTTGAACGATCAATCCTTGAGTATTGTTTATACGCGAGCTTGTACAAAAATGGCATAACGTATACAACACTGTATGTGGATATGAATACTTATTGCAGGAGAGATAAGGATTCAGAAACCGAGAAATTATGGATGCATTTGTCAAACAAATTCGAATCGAATTCAGTTTACGGCAAATTGCAGGATTATTTAGGCACAAAAACACATTGGGTTTAATGGATACTCTAATGTATGTGTATAACGTTAAATGTTCACCGTTGCTAACAAAGGAAGACATCAACCACATTGAGGAGAGTAGCCTTAGAAATGGAATTTTAAGATACATGACAGAGACCAAAAGTCTTGAGCTGTTTCGTAAAAAGCGCTGCATAGAAATGCTTGCACACTATGCAGCGCAGATTGGGACGCAAACTGTAAAAATCGACAAGTGGTTACATACTTTCCGCATACAGTCATGCATAGTCGTGGCGAACGTAATAGGCTGCCTTAGAAAACATCTACCAAAAAATCAGTGTTTTTCTATCGACCTCAGTTATCGTCTAAATGGTAAGGAATGAAATAAAAAGATGTTAGTAGGCGTGACAAATTTTTTAATGGCTCATTAATTTGATTTTCCATGGTTTCCGTGGTTACGTAACACCATACGAATATTATCAATCCAGACAGCCAAACTGGTTCGCGAGACCTCGAAAGCACTCAACTCAACTTGCGGCTTACTCGCCAAACTCGCCTCCTTTCCAATCACCACTAGTTTGCATCACTGAATTTAGGACACTTCCTTAGCGGTGCCTCATTTCTTACGGAACTCATTCTTACAAAAACGATCCGATGCTCAATTTGCCTCAAAAAAGCAGCAGATTTTCTGGCGTAACATTGTGGATTATCGAACAGATGCGAAGACAGCATAGCTAGCGTAGGCAGGCAATACTTCCCGTGAAATACTGTTTATAATTTTCATACAACAAACGCATGAGTTGTCTACCAAATATTGGATTTCATGTGTACACACTTGACATCAATCAAAATGAAATTGACGGCGTATTTATGAAATCTTGAAGTGTGAAGACACTTTTTAACCCCAAAAAAAAAAAAGATGTTCTCAACTTGAAAACGTTGTGTGAAATGTTGTGGTTCCGAATTAAAAAATAATTAAAACAAGTAAGAATAAATTGGCCCGCGACAGAATCTTTAATGCCGTTATCTTGAGGAATACTAATAAAAAAAGGTGAAACTACATTTTTATAGTCTATAATGTTGGGTGGGTGTGGCTGATTTTTCCATTTTTTTAGAATAAAAGCAAAGATTTATATCGTGTTTCTCAATTCGTATTACCATGTGGGCGTGTTCTGTTGCCAACTTGGCCCATTTTCAATATCAGCCAGCGTGCAATGGCTTCCAGTGTTTTTTGGATTCGAAGCCGACAGTTCCATTTCTGTGACGAGGAGAACGTTTACAGCAGACATTACGCAAACGAGCGACCGGACAGGCGGACATGCTTCAATCGATTCGAAGTTTGATGCTGATCGACAATATACACACTTTATGTGGTCTCTGAAATTCCCTATTGAACCTTTCCACAAAATGAATATTATACTACTTATCCTTCGGTGCTGAGCGTAAAAAAAAATGAAAAACATCGGATAAACTAAATATCAACAGTTTGCAATATTTGATGGGCATGGCTCGTAAGGACGTAAGAGAAATCCAGCTTGTATTTTACCGGTCGATTTAGGAAATGATTCTGGATCGGTCAAAGAGCTTGTCTATCCATCCGTTCCTTTTGTTTATTATGTTGTTGTGTTCGACCGTTAATGAAAATGGTTCGAATCGGACTGCTTCTTCGACCATTCCCCATATAAAGCCTTATTTTAAAAAGTCCATGTTACTGCACAGGGAGGGAGCGTAGTTGATTTTTTCTCACTTTTCGAGAACTTTATCTCTAGTGCAATCAAGAAACGACCTGCCCGGAAGCTCGTTTGACCGGTCTTCATCAGTTGGACGAGTTGTTATTATTGCATAATTGTCTATCACTGTCTGAATCAGCGGCAGACTTTTAACTAAACAAACGGCTGAGTCTTTGAACTGAACAAGATTTAATTCTGTAAGCAGGTGTGTACCCTAACGTAAGCAAAAATAAAACCTTTCCTAAAGGAGTCTCACTTTTATCACACACTGGTTGAGATAGATCAAGCCGCGTCAACGACTTCATCTTTTCGCATAATCGTGCACATTTTCACAACCACTGCAAGCATTCAATATTGGTTCTTACTTCTTAATGGTGATTTTATTTTACACAAAAAAATATCGATAAAAGTTTGAAATAATCCGCATAAAAATATTACAATTTTTTTGGATTTTATAAAACGTTTACCTTGACTTAAAACAGCGGTACGAGCTAAGCTCGGTGGATCCTCTTTATTCATATTTTCAAAATTCTACACTTTTTGTCTAAGTTCTCTGTATTATTTATTATTAAAAACTGATATTCTTTTCACTTAAAAAAAAAAATATATAATTTTTTTTTTTTTTAAATAGCAAAACATATTCTTTGGATTAAAACATTAAAAATATTTTGAAAATTATTATATAAAATTTTCCTCTTTTTCTTTATAATATTTTAACCTTTAATTGCTTTATAAAAATCAAACGCGAAAAAAAAAAGATAGAAATTATTTGTATTAAAGCCACATAGCACACAATTAATTAATGATATAGATTAATTATTATATATGTTAGTGTTGGTATTAATATTATTTTTGTTGTTGTTTTCGTTCTTGTTATTACTATATTGTTGCCGCTGAGAGTTATTGATGATGTTGGTGGTTTCAATTTCAGTACAATTTTTAATTTCTCTTTCATGGAAATCACGACGGTACAAGTGGCGGCAGCAGCAGGTTAAATGTGAATCCGCGATGTTAACGTTTCGATATACGATCTGAGATTTATCACAATACAAAATGCAACACCATGACAGAAGCTAAACACCCAGATATACGAAAATATGTATATATGTATATACATATTTATATGCATACATATATTTATATATATATATATATATATATATGCATACGTATATACATACGTACATAGTATTTTCTGGTTCAAATTGTTGTTGCTGTATTTGTTTTTGTTCTTGTTGAGCTTTAACCAACCCCTAAATGTTAGCCGCAATCAGGAATGAACAAAGAGCAGCAACATCATCATAAGCATCACAACAATGTGGAGGCTCTTGAAAGCATCAGCAATATGAAATTAAACCATTCGAACACCCACTTACCTACATTACTGCCACTGTTTATATATGTGCGGTATGTGTATTAGTGCAAAATTAATAGCAAAAAAAGGGCTGAGAGGAAAAAAAAAAAACCACATCACATCATACTTTCTTGCAATCATCAGACAACAGCCATATTGCGACACAACGTCAGTACCACCCACCATAAAACACACGGATAAAAACACAAATGCTATGCTTATTCTCATGTTAATATACTTTTCATTTGGGGTTATAGTAGTAGTAGTAGTAGCTGAAGTAGTAGTAGTAGTAGTAACAGCAATACCAGTATTAGTAGTAGTAGTAGTAGTAGTAGTAGGAGTGGGACTAGTGACAGTGGTGGCAGTAAAAGTATTTGTTTTTGTATTGTTATTATTGTTGTTGTTGTATTTGTTACATGCTTTGATTCGTCCTTCTTGATGGTAGAGGATTGGGGTTTTTAGCATTTGCTGTACTACATAAGCTAAGCCACAAAATACTATAAACATACGCAAACATATACGCATATACAAACAAACAAGCATAGCAAATATATGCTTTTGCTCTCATTTCCGTTTACCTACAGAAACAGTTAATATTGGTCTTTCTAAGCTTCAAAATAATTGTTGTTGTTGTTGTTGTTATTGGTGTTGCGTATGCTCTTTACCTCTTCTCTCGTTCCGTTGGCAGGACCAGCAAGTCAGTTAGTTAGTTATAACAACAGCAACAGCAACAGCAACACATTAAGAGTAAAGTCATCAGATTTTCGTATCCAACACTTGTATATATATATATATATATGCACAGTGAATCGTTGTGTGTACAACTTATTTGTGTGTGTTTGTGTGTGTGTGTGTATGCATGTATATAATACCTAGCACATCGTATACCATGACCGAGCACCGATAATCGTGCGCTTTGACATTTTCCTTTTTGTATCGTAATTGTTTTGTTGTTATTGATTACTTTCATGCTACACAGTTGTCGTCAATCGGTCTATTAATGCTGTTTTTGTTATTATTACTAACCGTGTTGTTTGTTAATTTTAAAATACGCTACTATCTACAGTTTATAAATAATAGGAAAAAAAAAACGTTTAACACACCTTCAAACTTACTTTCAAGGCCAAAGAAAATTGTTTCGATTGCAATATAATTGTACACACAAATTATAGAATCCCTTTAGACTTTTAATTATTCATAAACAATTGAGTTCAATCTATCGTTTAATACAATGTTATGACTAAATAGACTTTAGATATAGATTAATGGATTATGTTTATATACAGCGGAACTAAACAGTCAGTTATGAATAGCAATAAATAATTGAATAAACAAAATAATAATAATAACAATAAATATATTCTTTCGATTTGTATTATTGTGCAAGATCTCCTTAGACAAGGGAAGTGTAATTTCCAAGTCATTATCTGCCTAATAAATTAGGATAAAACAAACACTCTTCTCACTCGTCGTTAAAAACATTAGAGAGGTTGTTGTCTTGTTTTCTTTTTTCTTCATTTCCATATATACTTATAAACAAAGTAATGCCAACTTAGGGGAAGAAAGCGCTGAAGTCCTTATTTGGTAAGTTTTTGCTTTCATTGTTCGCATTGCTTCGAATTTAGATCAAAGGAAGCCCTGACAGAGCCTTCGATAATAAAGAGAATAATAACAGAATAGCTGGTAATAGCTGGTAATAGCTGGTAAAGAAACCGCAAGAAACTTGCGATAAAATTTTTAATTTCTATGACGCCAGTTAAATACCTTTAAGTAACACGTCCTCTATCATGAAAATTCTCGCACAAATTTATTAAGAGCTTTTTAAGAGAAAATATTTAAAAATATGTATATGTATATATATATAAACATATATATTAACATATACTTAATGTAAAAGTCTAATGTTGCTTTTATTATAAGACTTAATTATTCAAACGTCTTAAAATTTTTCTAAATACGGTTAACCAACATTATTAAAATAAAAAGACATTTTTTGCTTTTTCTAGGTCTTCTAATAAAGCTTTACATTAATACCTATAAAGAAGTTTTGGCAGATAATTTCCTCTGCATGCCAAGCTCGACAATGCGAAGGATATTCAAAGGGCGAAGGACAATTCAAACTTTAATTCAGGCAATTTTTTCTTCGTCTTCTTCTTTGCCACTCTCTTCGTAGCTATCTTCCTTAACTAAACGAACAACGTCGTTCGTTATTCATCACTTTTCACTATTTATCGATTTGGCATTAAAATAGTCAGTAAATGCTATAGCATAAGCATGCTACAATGCGTAGGTCCTAACATTACTGGGCTGCTCTGATGTATTCAGTAGCTTTGCACAACTTTCACGATAGGTCGCGTAGAAGGCTCTCTTAGCTCACATGAGAAAATACAATAGAGATGCGATCGTTTTTTTTTTTTTGGATTGATGGTGTGGCAATATGAGATCTTAGTTTCGAACAAAATTCATATGCTACAAAATACCGTCAACTCACTATTGCTTAAAAGTTTATTTACTTATTTATTTACACGGAGCTCAAGAAAACAAATCAACAGACTCTTAGAAGCACATCTTGTACCAACCAATGTGAAAATCTAGTATAAAATGTACGACTAGCAATCTATATATAATAATTATTAACTAATAAATTTAAATGTAAGCAAAAAAGAAGAAAAACGAAAGCATATATACGACTAGCACAGAGGCACACACACACAACTTGTACAAAATCAAATTGCAAGTGTGCCCCTGAGCCATCGCAAACATGGTAGGGCGTGGCAACCGATACAACAAACAATATCAGTTAATTTTAGAATCTTAGTGATATGTTAAGATTACAAATTAGTTTAGTTAGACCACACGTATTAAGCAGAGTTGCTTTGATCAACTTTAAAGAATGCAATATTGCGACTATGTGGTAGACATCATTCAGGTTTCTGCAAGCAACTATGAACGGGTTAAACAGCTCATAATTATATTTACACTGGCTCAACTCAATGAATATAAAATGCTTAGGAAAACGATTAGGAAGCGTTGAAGCTTATCTCACCAAGTAGTGTGGACGAATCCATTATAAACTTAGTTAAGAAGGAGACACCATGAATGAATCTACGCTTCTCCAGCGAGCAGGTAAGAATAACAGGAGTAATCTATTTTTATAAGGAGGCAAAGAGACAAGCGGATCGCAGCCCAAATTTCTAAATTCAATTAATTGTTGATTCAATTGAATCAACATAACACCTACAGGAGGGAATCCGCACAACCGAGGCATACTCCAATATTGGTCAAACCAAGCACATGTACAGCTTTCTTGTAATGTAAGAGACCCCCAGCTTCTGTTATGAAACCGAGCGCGGACCTAGCTTTAGTTAAGGAGAGCTCAATGTGCAAATTAAAACGTAATTTTTGGTCAAATCGAACTCCCAACTCAATGAACGAATCAATGTTTTCCAGCTTGTGCGAGTTAATGAAATCCTCAGTACTGAATGACTATCGTCTTAAGAACGAAAGCTTTTTGCATTTTTTTAGATTTAATTCCATAAAATTTAACGAGCACCATGTAACCAAATTATTTAAGTCAGTTTGAAGCCGATACGATTGCTCTTCCGAGAAGAAGGAAGAATGCAATTTAACGTCGTCAGTGTACATTAAGACCTCGCTGGATTTAATCACCAAGGGGCCATCATTAACGTGTAAATTAAATAATAGAGGTCCTAGGTGACTACCTCGTGGTAGTGTTGATAACAGGAACTATCAAGGCAAACTTGAGAACGAGGTCTTTTTAACACACTTAGTAACCTAGAGGTATAAATCCACGTTCCACCATTTGTCACTTACCATATTACAAAATAAAAACCCTTTCATTTAGGTTAAGCAAGTCCAAACAGTCCATTTTATTTCACTGAGAGTAAACAGGATGCAGAGATGGAAGAAATCTTTCTCATACCCAATGCCCATAATTAACGAAAATTTGGTATATTTTCTTATATGCAACAATGGACACTTTAAGGTAAGTGTCTAATTGTCTATAAACGATTGTCATTGCGTTATTTAGTTGCTTAGCTAAGAAAAACATGTTAAATCGCTTTTATGCCCCATGTAATCCATGATTGTTTGATGATGTTTTGCATTGAATGTTGACAACATTGGTAACTTCATTTATACGTAAATGCGTATATAGACGTATAATAGACGTATCTGCTGCATATATAAAGCGAATGTTTGTAATGGGAAAATGGAATTAATTTTTTGTTTTCTCATCTCTTCTCTATGTCTGTCTGTCTTTTGCTTTAGTTAATGTTCAATCGTATAATTTAATTTTTAACAATTGATTCGTTATTAAAATGATTGACTTTTTTTTTCTCGTTTCATTTATTATATAGAAAAAAAAAAAAAAAAACGAAAGATTTAAAATTTATATAAAAGAAAAACACTTTTAAACGTCATTACTGCAATAGATGTTAAAAATAAATAAAAGAGATAAAGTTTATATATTCTGTTGAATATTTTATTGATATATAGATATCTCAAACATAACTTATATTCCGATATAGAAAATATTGGAAAAATCCTTATGTCCGCCCATCAAAATTTTTTTGCTAATTCTTAAGCCATTGAACTCTTTCTTACTTAAACTTGAAGATGCCTTTATGTGAACTCAGTTATTTAAGGCATTGATGTATGTCGCATATTTGCTTTTAGAACTTACCTACCATATCCAAGCATTTATGAATTCAATCAAACATATATACATCAAGCGTACATACATATATATTCATCCATTCCATACGATATGTGTTAGCATTAAAATCATATATTATTTCTCGTATGCAAAAAGTCAAGTTTTTAAGT